ATTTGGATTGCAGAATACTTACAAATAAGACTTTTTTTCAACTTGTTTGATTGAATCCAAATAAGGTCTACTCGTTATAAGTGGTTGATGTGTTTAAATTATAGCTTCCTACTTCAACTCTCTCTTTTCCTTTGTTTGCAGAGGAATTGTTTATCTTAGTTTCTCACTATATGGATTTTGCTGATCATATCTTCATGATTCATTGAACGTGTTCTTCTGCTCTGAGTTAGTGGTTGGATCTAAAGGCTCAATCAGATTCTTTTTTTTTTTTGACAAGACTTCTTGATGTGGGTTGTTAGATTCTTCACTCCCAAACTCATTACATGTATGTCTGGTTACCTCTCTTGGATGTTAGTGGCCAATAGCAAGCAATGCCTAAATGTCTTAATCCATTAGGGCTTTTAAAAGAGTGATATTTCAGGCCGGGCGTGGTGGCGCATACTTGAAATCCCAACACTTGGGAGGCTGAAGCAGGAGGATCATTGAGCATTTGAGGCTAACCTGGGCTACAAAGTGAGCTCAAGGCCAGCCTGAACTACATAGAGACCCTGTCTCAAAAAAACAAAAAACAAACAAACAAATAAATAAATGGATGATATTTCAATTTTATCTTTGCTTATTAACTAGAATACTTCTTTAGTAAGAGTAGACTTCGTCTATGGTTTGTTAATTTATATGAGAAAGACAAGAGAAATGATTCCTCTTATTTCCCTCCTCTCAGAACAGTAGTTAGTTCACCTGAGCTCTTCTCCAGTGCCCAGCAGCTGCAGTATGTTGCCCATGTTACCTTTATTGATGTTTAAATAGTCCCATCTTTGGCCATTGAGAGCCTCTCAGGTTGACTCTTGAGTCTGGCTGACATGCTGTCTTCTATGGCAAAATGTTCCAGCCTCATTTTGAGCATGTCCTTTGTAAACCAAGCCATTTCTCTGAGGAGTTCTGGTTCCTTTTGGTGGGGAAGAGGTATTTCAAGGGCACAATCTGGATACCAGTGACACTGACTGCAGTGGCTTGGGTGTTGTTCTCAAGCATATTCAGTGTTCAGAGGCAGGAAGTGTGTTTGTTGCTTGTTTGTTTGCTTTTGAAAGAAGATATATTGTGAGTTCACGCTGATGCTTTCAATTCTGTTTAGTAGTACAGGGGTTTTACTACACGATTTTGTCTTATATCTGCATCTCCTTTCTGCCTTACCAAGGGTCTCATGTCTCTGTGATGCCAGTCTGATAAGAGTTGGAGAATGCTACAAGTACTTGTACTCACAACAGTCTAATAATAACAGCATCAGTACTACCACTAATTACCAAAAACATTATTTTAAAATCTCCCAAGAATTTTATTTTTCTTTGCATTCTGGAATGCCCTTCCTTTCCTTGTCTATTTGGCATTTTTTTTTTTTTTTTTTTTTTTTTAGGCAGGGTCTTTCTATACAGTTCAGGCTGGCTTTGAGCTCATTTTGTAGCCCAGACTGGCCTCAAACTCAGTGATCTTTCTGCCTCAGCCTTCTAAGTGCTGGGATTACAGGTGTGTACCACCACACCTGGCAGCAATTTCTTAGTGATTCTTCTGGGCCCACTTTTTTTTAATGAAGTGTATTGGTACATTTTAGGTATCCATAATGATCACATTCATTATAGGGAATTTGTACCCATACATGATATAACTTGATTCTTTTTTTTCCCCATTCTCCCACCCTTCCTTCAACCCCTTTTCTCCTCTTTTACAAAAGCTTTGTTTCCCTTTTGTCCTTCCCTTCTTGTTTTTTTTTTCTTTTCCCTTGCTTCCTTTCCCCCTCCCCATCCCCCTTTCTGTTTGAACATTCTCTTCCTATTTTGCAATATTCATTATACATTTTTGGTCCTTATTTACATTTTCAGTTTATCACACCAGAGAAACAATGTAGTATTACCACATATGTGTGTCCGATTTATTTCACTTAAGAGTATGATCTCAAAGTACATCCATTTAGCTGGAAATGTCTCAAGTTTATCCTTCTTTATGGCAAAGTAGTACTCCATAGTATTAAAGAAAACCACATCTTCTTTATCCATTCATCAATTAATAAACATTTGGACTGTTTCCAAGATTTAGGTATTACAAACAGTTGGGCCCACTTTGTATACCCTTTTCTTGGTAAAGTTTTCTTCTTGAGGTAATATTACTTCCTTCTCTGCTATTCTATAGCTCTTTGTATGTTCATGGCAATTTGCTTATTTACTGGACTTCTTAGAGTGCAGCTTCCTCTGGGCAGAGCTTTACTCACCAATACAGCTCCAGCACCCAGCAGACACTCAGAGAAAACTTGATTTTAAATAAATGATATGCTGTGCATATCATGTGGCACTCAGAACTTTCTTGGCCAACTTACCTGAGAGGTTTTTATTTGGGAGGTGCTATTGATTGAGGGTCTGTTCTATGCCAGATACATAGGTTCTGGACTGTACAACACAGTACCACCCTCACATTCCCAGATTCTACATCCCAATTCTATTTTATTTTATTTTATTTTATCTAGTTAGTTTTTGGGTTTTTTTTGGTTTTTTAAGACAGCATCTCACTACATGGTTGAGGCTGTCCTTGAACTCACTATGTAGCCTAGGCTGGTCTCAAACTATGACAATCCTGTTTCAGCCTCCTGGGTGCTGGGATTACAGGCACGCTCCATCATAGCTGGCCTCAATTTCTTCTCCATGGAGCATCATAACTATGGGAACTCACTGGAACACTCCAGTGGCAATGTAGGCCAGCCGTAAGTGTGGGCTGGGACAAGGGAAAGGACAGGGAATGCCTGTACCATGGCTGGACCACCCATGATGGGCAGCCAGTAGGGTCTAAGTCGGGTCTTAGGCTGCGAAGATGAAGAAGCAAGTGATGCTGGGGATTTAGCTCAGTGGCAAAGTGCCTGCCTGGCAAGTGCAAGGTCGTGAGTTCGATTCCTGGTACCGGAAGAAAAGACAAGAAAAAAGAGAGAGGGAAGGAAGCACTGGCTATTGATGACATTAGGGACCATCTTGGCACGAAGGAGAGTGTCTTCTTTCTACCCTGTGGCCTAAGAGCTGGGAATTCCTGATGTCTTCCCTGCAGGCCACCCATTGAACACTGGCAGCAGGGAAAGGGAATTTTCTGTCTTCAGATACTTCTGTAATCTTTAAATTAATTTGGAGCAGGCAAGTAGAAAGATGAAAATAAAATCCTCAGTGCTCGTTTGAGGGCTGCTTTGCCCTCACCTTTATTTCATGCTTTAGAAACCCCAGTTGATGTTTAATAGAAGGCCGCTCAGGGCTTCCCTGCCAGCAAATTACAGCCTCCTTCTGCCTGCAGCTGCTTTCCACAGAGTTTTGCTGGCATCGTTACCCTTTTCTCAAGCCTGAAGACTTGGGCAGGTGCCCTTGCCTGCACTTCACCTCCGTGATGGGGCCCTGAGGTGATGCCTGCGTGTGGCTCTGTCATACGGACATCTCAGGAGGCCTGCTCCATCTCCTCTGGATGTAACGTGATCTCTAGCCCCTTTTTCCATGTTCCCAACTCCTACACATCCCCATGTGGGCACCCCTACTTCATTATACCCCAAACGAAACTCTCTGACAGCCAGATGTTCCTTGAGTCTTCCTAGCTCACGGAATGCACTATACTGCCCCTGGCTTCAGCTTAGGTTAGTCTTCATGGTGCCTTAACACAGTAATGAGTATAATTAAATAATGTTTCACGTGTTTGTACCTTGCTGAATTCCCTGTATATGACTTGGTCATCCTGGTGCCTAATGCTGGGGACAGTGCCAAGCACATGAGTCTTCAATAAATATTTGTTGGCTTCATTACAAAATCTACCCAGTCACCCAAGCTAGAAACACAGCCATCAATGTAGATTTTTCTGTCTCATGTTCCATAGCTTATCAGACAGCAAGAGTTGTCCCTGTTATGTCTGAAATATTTCTCAAAGCTGTCCTATCTTTACCATACCCAGCACTGGGTATTTAACCAACTCTTTTCTTTTCCTCCTTCAAACAAGTCCTGCTTGCAGCCACAGGTGTCTTTTGAAAATATACTGGAGCATGCCTTTGACTATCACTTCTTTACTCTTTCTTTAGGGCAGGGTGTGTTTTGAGACAGGATTTTGCTCTGTAGCCCAGGCCCACCTTAACTCACTGCATAGCCCAGGCTGGCCTCAAACTCATCTTCCTGCCTCAGCCTCCAAGTGCTGGGATTATAGGCATGCTCACTGCCTTACTTAAAAGAACACGGTCATACGTACCTGCAATCCTAGCACTGAGGGATGCTGAGGCAGGAGGATAGCAAGTTGAAGCCCAGGCTGAGCAACTTAGCAAAACTCTTCCTCAAAATAAAAACAGAAAAGGGGTGGGATATAGCTCAGTGTGAAGGCCTTGGTTTCCATCCCCGGTATTGCCAAAGAACACACCAAACAACTTTTTTTTTTTTTTTGCATCCCTTTGTCTGAAGAAGAAAACGCAAGATCCCTGGATTGCAGCGATCTGACCTTGCCCTGTGTGTCTTGCTTCATATCCTTGTGTTTCAACCACCACACACAGATCTCCAGTTCCTAGATCTTTTTAGACTCCTCCGTGTCCGCTTTATTGCTCCTGCTCTAGTGCCTAACACAAAGCTTCCGGAGAGAAGAGAGAGATGGTAGGCGAAGGTTAGCATGGGGATGTGGGTTGGATAAGATCACTGGATGTCTAAGGGAACAGAAGACAACTTTTTAAAAAGTCAGCTCTCCTGCCACAGTGATTTCCACTTTGAGCACAGAAATCAGGGCTCAAGGCCCAAGGTTTTGGGAATTAGTGGTTCACCTTTAAACATTAAATATCTTTTTCTGCAATGTAGCTCCCTTCTGTAAGGGAGAAGCTTTGTCTTAAAAAAATCACTTTTTGAGGGGCTGGGGATTTAGCTCCGTGGCACAGTGCCTGACTGGCAAGCGCAAAGTCGTGAGTTCGATCCCCAGTACCGGGAAAAAGATGAAAAAAAAAATCCCTTTTTGTTTTTCAGTTCTCTTTCATGTTTTGGGGAATGTGGTTCTTCTGGACCTGGCATCTGCTGCAGGAAAGCAGAGTGGTCAAAGCCAGCAGGAAACGGACAGATGGCTCCACACTGAAGCTCATCACCTATTTAATGAACAGAATTCAATGCTGGGCTAAGGAGTGGCTCAGTAGTAGCGCTTGCCTACCATGCCTGAGGCCCTGGGTTTGATCTCTAGCACCACAAAACAACAGCAAAACAAAAATTAAATGTTAAAAAATTGAATGTTGTTCAGCATGTGTGTCCGTCTGTTCTTTTCCACCCAAGGATTGCCACTGACTATGCACTGACTGGGAGTGGATTGCAAGGGAGTGGGTCCACTGTGTGCATTCTCTCCCAGGGGCCTCCCGGTTAGGTGACGGGCTCTACCGTGGGGCCACTTCCAACACCTGAACTGCTGCTGTCCTTCTCTAAATTACGTTCAGATCACCTACCTTGGCGATTCTCCTCACTGCTGCTGCTTGCCCTACTAAGGTAGCCAAACAGTGGGATCTTTGGTTGGGATTAAGTGGTAATTTGAAAACTCGTCTTTGGTAATATGATTTTGGGAAACTGAACCTAATGGTTGCAAGATAATAACTCATCCTCTGGACGTGGTGGTCATCCCAGCACTTGGGAAGCTGAGACAGGATTGCTGCAATTCAAGGCCAGCCTGGGCTACATAGTGAGTTTCTGGCCAGTCAGCTACATAGCCAGACCCTGTATCAAAAGAAAACAAAACATAAAAATAAATAAATAGCTCACCCAATGTCTGCATCTGCAATTTCGTGACTCACCTGAAATTTTTCCTTGAGATTTTATCCTTACCATGCTGCAGGCTGCTAGGAGTCTGATTTAATTACTTGCTGCCAAGATATAAGGGGTAAATGGCACATACATGTGCTATAAGTATGGAACATGGGGTCTAAAGAACGTGGTGGCAGGACTTCCGTCTGGATAGAGTGGAAAAACCAGTGGCAAGCAGTGGCTTACCAGGTTAGCAGTTTTCTTGTGCCCACGTGAACAGAAGAGGTTCAGAGATAGAATGAGGTTAGTATGGCTGTTCCATGGTGTCATCAGGTGTCCATTGACTTCAGTCTTTCTCTTCTACTCAGCAGACCTGCGAGTGTGTCATCATGAGATCTCAGGCATAGGTGGTGCAGAGCCTGGTTCCAGACCCAGAACCCTTGTGTGATCTTCCAGACCCAACAGTGGCTCTGCCAGACGGGCCCCCGCTTCACACTGTGTGCAAAGCCAGAGCGCTGTGACTGCAGGGAGTGGGCTCGCTGCTATGCCCTGCCTTCTGCCCACCGTGCCCTTATGCTTCTCTGCATTTCTAGCCCAGGACCCTTCTTTCCTAGCCATGGCGTCCCTCAGGTCTGCAGAGACCAACTTCTTGAGGGCAGGAAAAGGGAGGCTTTGAAGGTACTTTTCTCTACTTAGTAGTCAGGACTTCTCCACTCTAAGCCCTTCCCTCTTTCTGGGTAGGCTCTGGGTTTTTTAACTGGCAGAAACTTTTTGATTAGGGAGCCCTCTGCAGTGAGATAACCTCTGTCTACACTGATCCACTTGACCCTTGCCTCACATTGTTCCACAGGGAAAAATGGAAGATTAAGGGAGGTGGTGCCTTTTCCACTCTAGTCTTGCCTGTGCAGTCAGCCAGTGATTAAAGGCTTAACTGATGGTTTCATTCTCACTTGTCTTACAGCTCTAACATTTGGCAGCTCTCTCCAGTTCAGCTCAGCTCTGACAGGCAGCAAGAAAGGGATGGACCAAAGGGCTGGGCCAATTTTCTAGCCTACCTTTTAATGGGCTTCCTCCAAGGCCCTGTCCAGTATGGTCTTCTTAGACCTTACTGGAGAGCAGTGTGTCTATCACATGGTTACCCATAGCTGCAAGGGAAGCTGGAAATGATCAGCTGGGCACACTGTTAGTAGGGAAGGAAAGGGGAATGGGTTTTAGATAACTGCTACATCATCGAGCTCATACTTTTAGGAAAGTTAATGGGTGGCAGTTTGCCCATTGTCAGTTTAATTTCATTAGTTGGCATAGTATAAAGAAATTAATTTAGTGAAGAGAGCAATGGCACCAGCATAGTTTCTGTAACTCCTTGAATCTCTTATGAAGACAGAGTAACCAGATAGCAATGGACAATATCTACAGCAAAATGTGGTGACAGGCCAACCCCACAGACCCCACAATCTAAACTGGAGGAAGCTATTGGCAGTGCTAACTTGCATGATATCAGCATTTTAAGGAAAGAAGCAGAAGGAAGCAATAGGGTATCTGAGAATAAGAACCCCACAGTAGCCAGCAGGTGCTCCCCAGAAAGTACAGCAGACCCTAAGGAGGCAGCAGCAGAAGCTGGGTTTTATGTGAGTTTGCAGCCCGGGAGTGCAGCAGCTTCAGGTCAGGTCCATGGAGCTGGAGCAGCCCAGGTCCCATGGACTCCAGAACAGCCAAAGCTGCTTCCCAGGACACCAGAGGAGATGCTGCCAGGAGCAGAATACAAATGGGGTAGGCCAGGATACACGGAGCAGAGGAAAGAGAAGGCTGGGTAAGGGCGGCGGGGACAAACCCAAGTCTCATATGAAGAAAGTATGAAGGCATACTTCTGAGAACTTCACAAAATCAGAGGAGAAAGCTGTAGAGTTTGGAATTTGGAAAAGCTACCCTGACTCCACTCTCCCTCCTAAATGTGTAGGAAAATAATTTCATGTGAAGGAGAGCAACAGAGAGGATTACAGTCCAATTTCATAGTAAGGTTTTCATGAGAAATGAGAACAAGGAGCAGAACTGCCACCCTGATGGTGTCAGAAGCCTCCAGATGGCCACTCTCACGAAACCAGGTAAGACCTCTAACTTGCTGTTTCTCAGGGAGCTAAAATAAATTTAAAAATCGTCCAAGTTAATGGAAGGAAAGCACTAATCAGAACCACAAAGCAGAAATTAGGAGTCAGGAAAAAAAGGGAAACTCATTTTACAAATGAAGACTGAGTAGGGATGTCAGTGAATATGCACAACTGATAATGTCTTAGGGATTAAAAAGGGGAAAGAATGAAATCATTTCTATCCCAGAATGATGACAAATTGAAGCATGCAAGAAAAAGTGACAAATGTAGAAGACAGGTGAAGAAGAGCTAAAGGTGTCACTGAAGGAGGAGAGGGAACAATGAAAGGGAATAAATACAAAGAAACTCTGAATTTGTGGTATTTCCCTAAAAAGCAATTTAAAAGATCCAAGACTTCATATAGAGAGGCCACATCCCATACCTGGTGAGATCGACATGGAAGATCAATACTGAGATATATTTTAGTAAAGCATGTGGATTTGGAAGAAGAAAAAATACATGGGGCTTCCAAGTTAAAAGACAAATTCACTTATAAGGGAAAGAAAATCAGATCATCATCAGCCTTTTTGACAGAAGTGCTTTATGGCAGAAGATTACAGTGACCTATCTGCCAGCCAACGTGACTTCAGTGTAAAGGCTACACATGTTCTCATCACAGAAGAACACAGGGAATATTCCCATGTTCCCTTTCTGAGTTGACTTCCAGGTCACAGGCTTCAGAGTGACCAGCAGGACATTGCCAGAACAGGTGGTGAGCACTTAATATGTGCTTACTTATGGAGCTAAGAACAAATGGTGGTTATGACGGAAAGAATGTAGTCTATGTTCTTATGCACCCTTTAAATATACAGTATAACTAAAAGAAAGTAGAAGAATGGGGAGAGCATTTTTAAAGGAGAATAAACTTGGGACTTTCCAGGTATTGTTCTGTAATCCCAGAACACAGGAGGCAGAGGCAGGAGGACTTCCACGAGTCAAGGCCAACCTAAACTACAGAGTGAGACTCTGTCTCAAAAAAAAAAAAGTTATATAATTTACAATGTCCAATATGTAGTATATATTCAACTACAGAGGGTCTCAACTTCTCACCTAGGAGCAGGTAAAGGTAGGACTTAAACCCAGGACTGTCTGGCTCCACGGTTTGCTCTTTCTGTCCTGTACTGCTGAAGGCAAGATTACCCAGTGAGTGTACATGATAGGAGTTTTAGAAGGAGGGCTGCGGCAGGAAAAGCTTCAAAGAAGTCATGGAACTTGAAGAGGCAGAATCAACCTGAAGCAGATATGTAAGGGTAGAAAAAAATGTTGGACAAAAGAGGGAGGGATATATAAGAAAATCAGCCTTGCTTTCTTAGACTTGTATTTCCTGCCTTGGTCTATTTTCCAAGAAAAACATGTAAAGTGGTAACAGGTGATCAGTTCTGCCAGGTGGCTGGCTGGGCATGTGGATGAGGATAGTGGGTGGCTAAAGATGGGAACTTATACCCCAGGTGGGAAGGGTCTGGCCATGGGTCTGTGCCCCAGCGATGCCCTGGGTCCTGGCCTGCTATCATGGTTTAGGACACGCTACGCTGGCCAGGTGAATGAATGAATTGATGCATGGAACAGTATTTCAAGGACTTTTAATGTCTTCTTCATGTAGCTGTATTTACTGATCTACTATTTGAAAGGTAGGTAGTGGGGCTCAGTTTAGACAGGGTGGAAGAAAGAAGTGCACACCAGGGTCCTCCATTTTACCAGACCCATGCACCAAGTGACTGTGTTACTCTCTCAGGCTACCATGCTGTTCAGCAGGGAGCTAGGATGCTACTCTGTCTGTCTGATTCCCAAGCCTTCCCCTGTTGCCTCATGGACACTGAAGAAGTCACATGCCAGCCCTCAACTTTGCTGCCTCTTCCACACATACTCGGAGATGAGAGCCTCATGTTCACCCACAGATTTCATTTTCCTATCTCTGCGTCATAGGCAGAGGGCTACATCTGCCTTTGCAAACTACCTACGCTGTGCTGAAAAGGGAAGAAACTTCAGAGCCATGATCACACGCTGTGCCACACGTGGGTCTCCTCTTCTCTCCATAGTCTTCCTCTGAGGTCTGATCCCATGAATCAGACAGCAAATTCCCAAACAGCCAACATGGAGGGCATCCCCATTCCAAAGAGATGACCTTAGCGGGAGGAAATTTCCCATCACGTGCTGAGCCTTTCCAGGTTTTCCCAAAGGCCTGGAGCTTCGGTTTTAGAAAGGGCTCAGATTTACCCTAGGACGCGTGTTCCCCAAGCCCACAGGAAAACATTCTCGATGTGTTTTGGGCTTATTTTCTTGCTTGCTTCATCAAATCCTGTTGCACAAGAGACAGTGGATGTCCAAGGAGCTGTCTTTCAAAATAAATGTGTCTTA